AACCACAATGAGATATCACCTCACACCTGTCAGAATGGCTGTCATCAAAAAGAACACAAATAACAAATGCTGGTGAGCATATGGAGAAAAGGGAACCCTTGCACACTGTTGGTGGGGATGTAAATTGGTGCAGCCACTGTGGAAAACAGTACTGAGGTTTCTCAAGAAACTAAAAACAGAACCACCATATGACCCAGCAATTCCACTCATGGGTATATATCTGAAAAACCCCCCAACAATTTGAAAAGATACATGCAGCCCAATGTTCACAGCAGCATTATTTACAATTGCCAAGATATGGAAACAACCTAAGTGTTCATCAACAGATGAATGGATTAAGAGGATGTACACACACACACTGTAATACTACTCAGTCATAAAAAAGAATGAAATTTTGCCATTTGCAGCAACATGGATGTACTTGGAGGGCATGATGCTAAGTGAAATAAGTCACACAGAGAAAGACAAATACTGTATGATATCACTTATATGTGGAACCTAAAAAATACAACAAACTAGTGAATATAACAGAAAAGAAGCAGGCTCACAGTATACGTATAGAGAACAAACTAGTGGTTACCAGTGAAGGGGGGGCAATATGGGGCGGGGGGAGTAGGAGGCATAAACTACTGGGTGAAAGACAGGCTCAAGGATGCACAATATTATGCGACATGGGGAACAGAGCCAATATTTTGTAATAATTGTAAAATGGAAAGTAACCTTTAAAAATTATATTTAAAATTTTTTTAAAAGGCATTGCCAAACAAACAAACAAACCATGGAGAGTTTTCTCTCTTTTTCCACCATGTGAGGATACAAGAAGACAGCAGTCTACAACCTCAGGAGGGTTCTCACCAGAACTCAACCATGCTGGCACGCTGATCTCTGACTTTCAGCCTCCAGAACTGTGAGAAATAAATCTCTACTGTTTATAAGCTACCCAGTCTATGGTACTTTGTTATAGCAGCCCAAACTAAAACACTTACCAAACTAGGTTAATGTATGTAAATGTACATGTACAAATACATATGTATATTCTTCCTTACCACCAAGGTGCTTCATATTTATATTGAAAGTAAAGACTGTTAAAACTTGTGATTAGCCCTATTTGTTTCAATGACACTCCTTGCTGATGACAAGATGAATGATAAACTAGTATTCCTATTTCTTTGGCTGGATTAGATTAAGAAACAATGAGAACCAAATAGGATTCATTTTATGTTCTGAATGAAGTGTTCCTTTCATTAACTTGCTTTTGAAATAATCTCATTAGAAAACAATTATTGTGCTCTTAGGACTTGGCACTACGCACCGGGTGCTCCATATTTTAATTCCTATGTTATAACGTCATTTCAAACTCAAACCAAATATAGTAGCAGTGCTGTTAGATTTACATCTCACAGAAAACCTCACTGAATTTACAGTCACATGAATCCCAGCCTGTCAGCTCACTTCCTCAGAAGCACAAATCCATGTCAAGCCTCCAGCTGCAAAAAATATGCTCATAAAACACAAATCTGGGATCACTGTTAAACCAGGGAATTAGCTACTTGAGAAAGCACAACAAATTTTCTCATTTTAAATATGAAAAAACAAGGACCACTGTAAGACCAGTGGTAATAATACAAGAGACTTACATAATAATCTAATGCAAATAAAATGAAAGTGCATCTAACAGCCTTCGAATACTGGCTTACAAAGCATTAAGTGTTGCAAGAAGAACTTTTCAAAGAATATAATTTAGTTAAAATTTTTTTTTAGTTTAGAAAAAAGCACTCTGATTATTCAACTAAGTTGTAGCCAGCCTCTTTAAACAGTTACCAAATCCCCGGAGAAGAAAGGCAGAACTTAATTGAGAGAAGTACATGAAAACAAACTAACTAAATTGCCTCACACATTATGCTGAAAGCTCAACAATGGAATATTACTCAGCCATAAAAAGAAATGAAATTGAGCTATTTGTAATGAGGTGGATGGACCTAGAGTCTGTCATACAGAGTGAAGTAAGTCAGAAAGAGAAAGACAAATACCGTATGCTAACACATATATATGGAATTTAAGAAAAAAAAAATGTCATGAAGAACCTAGGGGTAAGACAGGAATAAAGACACAGACCTACTAGAGAATGGACTTGAGGATATGGGGAGGGGGAAGGGTAAGCTGTGACAAAGCGAGAGAGAGGCATGGACATACATACACTACCAAACGTAAAATAGATAGCTAGTGGGAAGCAGCCGCATAGCACAGGGAGATCTGCTCGGTGCTTTGTGACCGCCTGGAGGGGTGGGATAGGGAGGGCGGGAGGGAGGGAGACGCAAGAGGGAAGAGATATGGGAACATATGTATATGTATAACTGATTCACTTTGTTATAAAGCAGAAACTAAGACACCATTGTAAAGCAATTATACTCCAATAAAGATGTTAAAAAAAAACTCAATTCACTTTATACTTCCCATGAGTGTGAAAAATACTTTCATTAACATCATTCCTTAGAGTAGGTTATTTTTCTACTTTAACATATACTTTCACGTATGTTAAAATCAGACTTACAAAGAAGTATTAAAATATGTACTTAAAACACATTTAAATAAATAGCCTTCAAATAAATTCCACCAAGAGGTGGAATTTTTAATCAGCGTTCTCATAAGACCAGTATTTTGGTATGAAATACCCTTGTATATACTTTCTGAATATCATGTACACTTGGTCCCAAGCTGTAACAGTAAAGCATCTCTCAGCTCCATTACAGAATTGCCCCATTTTGGACTGACACCATTCTTTCAAAACTCTATTTAAGGGTAAGGAAGGGCATAAGGGTCATAAGAAATAATTGTCAAGACTTCCAAGAGGGTCAGGGAGAGAGCTTATCTTCAGCAGAGCTATGAACAGGCCATATCTAACAAATTAAAATTTAAAAATAAAATATTCATTTAAGTACAAAATAGCACCTGTACAAATATGGGTTTGGAACACATGATTTAAAAGTAGAACGTGAGAAAAGACAGGCGTATTTGTCAAAATGGAGCTCAAAATGAGTTAAAAAGAATGGCACACCCAAAATCATTAAGTGTGGTCAAAGACAGCAGTGAGATAGACAGATATATGTATAACTGAATCACTTTAGTGTACATCTGAAACCAATACAACATTGTAAATCAACTATACTTCAGTAAAACAAAATTTAAAAACAAATAAGAGAAGAATAACCCCCCAAATTTTAAGGTTATAGATTTTAATTTGGTCATAGTTAACTACTAGGAAAAGAAAAACTACTCCTTTTTAAGACTCATAATGTGATCGCTGGGTAAAACAATGCACATGTATATTTCTCAAATTAAATAATCTAATGTAAATTTTTTAAAAAAGAAGTCTATTTCCACATAGGCAGATGGTAATCACACTACCGTGTGCACTGGTTAGACTATATAGTCATTTATGGTGTTTAATTTACAAGAGGGACCCAAAACAATGAGGGGATCTGAATAAAGTTAACAAGAGATTCATTTCACATTCAACAAGTAGTTACTGAGCACTATTCCCAGGATATAACAGATTAAAAAACTGACAAGGTCTCAGGTTCTCATGCACTTTACATTACAATGTTGGCATCCTCCATCCCACCCTCCTACCCTTGGGAGGGTAAGAGAAAGACTTTTTTTAATATGAAGGTAGGTAGGATAGGATAGTACAATGGAAATAACATGGAATTTTGAGTCAGATGACCTAAATTCAAATCTTAACTTGATTATCACCTCAGCCTGTTTCCTCACCTGAAAAATACAGATGAAAACGATCACATGATTATAAGAATCAAATGATATAAAAATATAAAAGCATTCTTTAAGCTCTGTTTATGTAAGAGGAGGATCAAATTTCTTCTGCAAGATTTCAAAGGATATAACAAGGTTTCACTAAAAGGTAGACAGATTTCAGCTCCATACAATTCAGGGCTCATCCAAGATGGAATGGGCTGTCCCCTAATATTACAGGTGATCACACATGGGCTTACTGGCCTCTTGGCAAAAATCCAGAAAAACACAGTAAGTTCACATAACATGTCCACAGTACTCACGGAGTATAATATCTGCTCTTACCCTCTCTGGGGAAGAAGCAAAACAAATGATTATGTTTAGTATTAAATATATGCCAGATTAGTTCTTCTGTGTGCATGATGCAACTGAAAGGTGACTGTTATATCTGCATCAATCTGTCCAAGTCCCAGTTTTTCCATTATAGGTTTGGTAGGAGAATTGGAAAAGATAGTATAACTGCCCACCATAAAGCAGCTTCAAAAATGTCATTTCCCTTTTCCTTTGCCACTTAAAAACTCTGTTCATGTATGTTCAACTTTCATTATTTGCTATTCATAGAGCAAGGGTATCTGGTTAAATAAGAAGGAAATACTGTTCAGCACAATATTATTTTAAAAAACAAATAATCACTAACACATTAAAAAAGATTCCGTTCAAAAAAATTAAGTTCTGGGCTTCCCTGGTGGCGCAGTGGTTGAGAGTCTACCTGCCAATGCAGGGGACACGGGTTCGAGCCCTGGTCTGGGAGGATCCCACATGCCACAGAGCAACTAGGCCCGTGAGCCACAACTACTGAGCCTGCGCGTCTGGAGCCTGTGCTCCGCAACAAGAGAGGCCGTGATAGTGAGAGGACTGTGCACCGTGATGAAGAGTGGCCCCCGCTTGCCGCAACTAGAGAAAGCCCTCGCACAGAAACGAAGACCCAACACAGCCAAAATTAAATAAGTAAATTTAAAACTGTTAAAAAAAAAAATTAAGTTCTGCAACTTTATATGGAAACCATGTTGATTTTTAAAAAAAGAACTGGAAAATACAGTATTAGCAACCTTGTATTCATTCTTCCACTCATTCAACAAATAGTACTAACCACCTACCATGTACTAGTCATTTGCAATTAAAGTTTTTTCTCTGTGTAATTGAAGATTTTTAATTAGATATATTCCACAGACTGCAAAAGAAAATCTAACCTGGGTTCTGGCTATAAAAAGGTCCTCCGTTCATCTGATTCTGAAGGCTTGTTTGTGAAGTTATGGAAGGAGGGCGCCTATAGGGCAAAGAGCCCCCTATTGTTGGGGGAGTATGGCGAGTGGCAGGTCTATTCATGCTGTAGAACTGAACAGGATGACCTGGAAAAGGGACAGAACATAAATTTGTCACTAAAAGAAAATTATCTCAGATACTTTAGGTACAATGCCTGAATCTTAATAAGATTATTAAAAATAACAATATTTAGCTAATTTAATTGCCATCTGACAAATATTAATGCAAGGTGACAGTTATTGCTCAGTTGACAGTATATCCAAGTGCAAAAGCAGGAAAGTAGGTAAATAAAATTATGATTAGGTTTGGAAAAACTATATCTAAATAGATTACTAATTAATATTATGATTTTATTAAATTAGTAATTTGATAGGGTTTCAAAATCATCACAATTAAAATTTATGGGGGGCTTCCCTGGTGGCACAGTGGTTAAGAATCCTCCTGCCAGTGCAGGCGACAGGGGTTCAAGCCCTGGTCCAGGAAGATCCCACATACATGCCATGGAGCAACTAAGCCCATGCACCACAACTACTGAGCCTGCGCTCTAGAGCCCGCGAGCCACAACTACTGAGCCCACATACCACAACTACTGAAGCCCGTGTGCCTAGAGCCCGTGGCTCTGCAACAAGAGAAGCCACAACAATGAGAAGCCCATGCACTGCAAGGTAGAGCAGCCCCCGCTTGCTGCAACTAGAGAAAGCCCGCGCACAGCAACGAAGGCCAAACACAGTCAAAAATAAAAACAAATAAATAAATTTGAAAAAAAATAATAAAATAAAATAAAATTTATGGCTCACTTCCTCCCAAAAAACACCAGCAATTAAACACTGAAAACTAAACTCAACAAGATGAGAAAAACGTTTAGAAAAGAAAAAGAAAAAATGTTTGACACAGTCTTATTCCAAAATAATAGTAATAAATTTAAGGTAGCAAGCCAATTTGTTTAAAGGAAATCATAAAATATTTCAGCAAAAGGTCAAGTGACATAATTCCAAATCACATTTTTCAATCAAAAATATCCTTCTCTAAAGTTAGATTATTTTGTCTTAAAATTAGAGTTTAACAAATTTACAATTATGAAAAAAAGTTAAGATACAAAAAGTGTTATCAAAAATATCTAATTTTTAGTATCATCCTGAACGTGTTCATATTTATCAGCAATTTCATACATTTTGCTCTCTGAGAGCACTTCAACAACTAATGCCAACAGAAGACACTCTTTCCTAATCCATCCAATTGCCTAGTTCAATCCAGTTCCTAAATTTTATCTTGACTCCACTTCTACTTAAAGTCATTAGCTAAGGGCCTACTGTACAGACAGACCAAGTACTAGAGCACCCATGAGAGAGCAGGCAAGAGAAGAAGGGGGAGGAATGGGGGAAGGGGAAGAGTGAGGGAGAGAAGAGGACGAAGAGAAAGGTGAGCGGAAGAAAAGGAGGAGGGGAGGGGAAAGGAGAGGAGAAAGGACAAGGGAAGAAGGGAAGGGAAGAGGCGAAAAGAGAAAAACACAACAATTTTTCTTCTTTTCCATGACTGTAAAATGGTTTTACGTGACTAAAACTGATCTTCAGGAACTGTTAAATTTATCAAACTTGGATTCATATGGATACTCATATAAAGAATATTATAGAAGCACTCAAGAGCTGCTATAGGATTTACTCTTCATACATACGACAGTATCAAAACCTAAAACTCAATTCTGTTGTATAAAAATCTTGAGTAGTCAAGCTCAAGCATAATCCACTGTCAATTTATATAGCCATGATAAAAATGTAAAAGCATGTAAACTAATAAGCTATATTTTGTCATTTGAATCACACATTACTGGCATTTTAGGCACTAATCTGCAACACCCTAATACAAACCTAGAATAAGTTAAAAACTCTGATATTTAACACCATTATGAATTTTATATAGTTAGATCTAGTCTAAAACCTCCCATGTTATAAGCCATCAACGATCCAAAGACACTACATAATAAAGACTCTATTCAAACCATTAATGAGGCATTTATTTTGCTTTGAGCTGAAAAACAAAACTATAGTTTAATTACCATAGACCTAACTATAAAAACCTGAAACTAAAAACTTCTAGAAGAAAACAAGACAAAAATCTTTTGTGACCTTGTGTAAGATAAAGAGTTTATAAACACAACACTAAAAGCACAATCCCCAAAAGAAAAAAGAAAAAAAAAAGAGCAATGAACGAGACCATCAAAATAAAGAACTTCTGCTCTTTAAAAGATACCATTAAGAGAATGAAAAGGTAAGTCACAAAATGGAAGAAAATATTTGCAAATCACACAATTAATAAAAGGCATATTCAGAATATAAAAGGACTCAATAAGAAAACAAAAAACCCAATTAAAAAGGTGTGTGAGGGGAAGCAAAAACATTTGAACAGACATTTCACCAAAGAAGATGGCAAATGAATACATGAAAAAGATGTTCTACATCATTATTCATTGGCGAAATGTCAGTCAAAACCACATGAGAAACTATTATACACCTATGAGAACGGCTAAATTAAATATACATATATATATGTGTGCATGTGTGTATATATGTATATAATGACAATACCATGTGCTAACAAGTATGCAGAGCAACTGGAAGTCTCACACACTGCTGGTGGGCATGCAAAATTGTACAAGCACTTTGGAAAACAATTATGCAATTTCTTATAAAGTTAAGCATTCACTTACCAGACAACCCAGCAATCCTACTCCCTAGGTATTTACCCAAATGAAATGAAAGCCTATGCTCACACAAAAGTCTGTGTGTGAATGTATTTGGCAGTTTTTTCATAATCACCCAAAATTGGAAATAAATCCAAATGTCCCTCAATTGGGAAAGGGATAAACAAACTGTGGTAAATCCATTCAATAGAACACTACTCAGTAATAAAAAGGAACAAAATAACAAAACATGTAATAATGCATAAATCTCAAATGCACTGTGCCAAAAAGCCAGACCCAAAAGGTTACGTTACATATGCTTCCATTTATGGTATTTTTACAAAGGCAAACTTTAGAGAGAAAAAAAAAAAAAAAACAGATCAAGAGGTTGCCAGGGGCTAAGAGTGAAATGGAAGGACTGCCTACAAAGGGGGCATGGAGGAAATCTGGGGATGATAGGACTGTTCTATACCTTGACTGTAGCTGTGGTTATATCACTGTATACATTTGTCAAAACTCACATTAGTCCATACTAGAAAGGGTGAATTTTACTGTATATAAATTATACCTTAATAAAAAGAAAAGAAAAAAAAGTATTTGGTGGGTGATTCAAAGATACTACATAAAAGAGATTATATTGATATGTTGTTAATAAGGCATTTACTTTGCTTTTTGTTAAAAAACTGTAATTATTCACTCATACAACAAATGTTGATTCAGTGCAGACTAGGAACCAGCACCTGTTATTAAATTATAATTTAATTACTAAAATGTTGACTCTATGTGAGGGTGATTTGTCCTTTCTGGGCCTACAACTGATTTCAAGATGTATTCCTTACTCTACTGATGCAGGAGCATAACAAGATTTCTATATTTAACTAGCTAGAGTGGCCTAACAGAGTGGTATGTAGATCAAAGGACAGCTCATGTTTACATACACCCACTGCAGAAAGCTTTTCTTAAAAAGTACTGTTACAGAAGCTATGCCATAAAACACCATCCAAAATGAATGGATTAACATGGATTTTTAAGATGTCTTTTAAAACACTTAAACACCTAGATACAGCAGCAGCACTGCATATATATTCTATGAAGTAGTTTATTAACCAGCTAAGGTGATGTGTGTCCAAACACATACATTTTTATAGTAGATAAGAACTTGTTTACTAAACCAGCATCACTATTAACTTTGAAAATATACTTTGTAGCAATTGAGCCTTTTTCTCCTTAGCCATGAAAACAAACTTTAGGTTGCAATTTTAAAACAGTAAAACACCAGTCAATCTTAAATTACAAATAAACTTGAAATCCTTAAAAAGCCCCCTAACTATGTGTTTCCAGTGCTGCTATAATAAGCAACAAATTCTTTTATAATAGACTTGTACTTTCAAACTGTTATATCAAATATTTCCTATAAAATATACCTTAAAACTACTGTCATACTTTTCTTTTTATTAATGACATAACCTGTAACAAAGAATACTTCTAATAACAACTTCTCAAAACTGTATAGCAGGGACTTCCCGGAGGTTCAGTGGTTAAGACTCTGTGCTCCCAATGCAGGAGGCATCGGTTCAATCCTTGATCAGAGAACTAAGATCCCACATGCCCAACGGCACAGCCAAAAAAAAATAAAATAAAATAACTGTAGAGAAGACAGCTCCATACTAAATTTGCAAATCTCTAGTAAATAAAATTCAAGCAATAAAAAATGTGTATTTGTGCTATTCTACTAGAAAAATGAGAAACCTTACCCTGATTCCCTCAGGAAATTCTATTCTTCGGTCACATGCCATTTTCTAGTTAGCACATTATTCTTCAGATTTTTTTTTTAATACAAACCACAAACAAACAAAAATCATAAAGCCAGAGTTCCAAGTAAGAGAAGAGCCAGACAATTGGATCTGCCTGCCAAAGAATAAACCAATACTCACCTGTAGGGGGAGTGGAAGAAACAACAGGGGGAGTTGGAGAAGTGAAGCCATCAGCAAGGGTCTGGGCACCCCCAGCAGCAGTGTCTGGGGCAGTGGAGGGAGGGACAGTAGCAGGAAGAGGGGCAGGGGCAGATGCAGAAGTAGCAGGAAGGGGAGGAGTACCAGCAGAGCCAGCAGGGGCTGAGGGGAAAGAGGAGTAAGAGGCAGCATTAATGAGGCAGTTCCATCAGGCAGGATTAGAAACGGCATTAGAGAACTTAATGTTAGATACTCGGTGCTTATCAATAACCAAAGAATAGAAGAGAGTGTTAAAAAAAAAAAAAAGAATGAGCTTATTATGTTAAAGGATTATTAAGGTTTGCAGCAAATAATTCAAGATGCTAAGGGTAATGTACAGGATTTTAAATTCATTAAAAGCATTCCTTTTTACCTGACAGCCACTACTCTAGAAGAAAAGTGCTCCCTTTATATTGTTATTTTTAACATTCTGTAAATATTGATAGTATACAAAATGAAACACAACACACTACAAAATGACAGTATTCCATTTTGAAGTATACAAATCAGAAAATAAAAATATTTCAGACATAAATATCTTATCAAGTAAAAAAGAATTTAGAAAAATAACTTTTTCATGATTTTTAAAAAGGTATTATCTATTTGTTATTTTAAGTAAGTTAAATATGTAATATTCTATCCTTACGTCTTTTCTGTCATGTTTTTAAAACTAAATTTTAACTTTGTGTCTTCAGATTAAACAAGTACATTTTTCTGTTTCAGACAAAAGAGCATAGCATTTCAGTGACTATCAAGTTCTCAGAGTCCATGAGATTGAACTGTCAAAATTATATCTGCTCAATCCTTTGCTACCAATATGGTTCTCACACTGAGACCCCACTGTGCCCAAAGGCATGCACTGTCATAACACCAGCTGGAATTAAACATGTAACTCATTCCGGTGAAACCTCAACTCAAAGCACCAACTACACCACAGCACCAAAGACACAAAACCAAATAACAGAGAAGTATGTGAACATAAACTCACAAATCATTTGGTTAAAAATAACAAACGCATAAAGATTTTTCAGCATTTACAGAGTCTTCGAGGGAAAAAAACCCTGATTATGAAGAAAGCCCAGTGTAATTAAATCAGAAATTGAATCCAAACTCAGCAAGGTGAAGATGAAGCACAATTCATGTTTTACCTGGAAAGACACTGGGAGGAGAAGGCGTAGGAACAGCAATGGGGACTCCCACACTCCCACTTCCACTGTTCTCCCGACTGCTGCTCCGACTACTAGGGTGGCTTCCTCCGCTACTCCCGCTGCTGCTAAAGAAACAGGAGCCACCAAAACATGAGTATTGATATACAGCAAGATACCGCCAGCATTTTCCAGAATTTTCTGAAATGAATATAGCTACAAAATGATAATTCAAAAGCCCTCCACTTAAAAGATGAATTTCTTAATAAAGTAAGGAAAAGAGCTGAGTTCAAGAAACTTGTTTTGGCTACCTTTTAATAAGCATGTATTAAAGAAACTGAGAAAGAAAAAAAATTCTCCATAAACATAGTGATAAATCATGGGGTTTGACACATAAAAATAATATTACTTTCTCTTATTCCAGTTTAATGGCTGTCTGAAGAAACCTCTTTTATAATAAAAACAGTTTTCCTGAACAAATTATTTGATTAATTTTATTTGTAATGATATCATGATATACTATCCCATATTAATGTTTTATTGCATATAGTTTTTCATCTGTAAAGTTCCACCAAAAAACAACTTGAAATTTCCCACATCTGGTCAATTATTTTTTTCAGGTCAACAATAACTATTAATCTTGCAGAGAAATCTGCACTTTGAGATGACTGTTCTCTTTCAACTTCCTGGCTGCTCAAAGTTGCATCAGAACATGAGAAGAGAGAGGTAGAATCAGATGAGGTTTGGGGGAGCAGAGTGAGGAAAAGAACTTAGTGCTTGGAAAATGAGAGAGATTTAACTGAAGTTATCTGAACAAATTATGGTACTATGACCATCACATTTTGCGCTAAGGTAGAGAAAATACCTGTAAGTTCGATTTCTTTGATTCACAGAAGCTGTCCTCACAGGGCTCTGCTGCGAGGGAGCCATAGTACGGGCTGGGCTAGGTACGTAATCATTTGGTACCACTGGAGGGCGCACTGGCTCCAGTGTGCGATAGGGGGAGTGCCGCCTACAAAAAGAAGAGCGTATGTATTGTGTGATTAGCAAGTTTCGGCACAATCAATTCAGAGCTGCCAGTAGTGAAATACAGTTTGTACTCGGAGGTAGTAGAACATGTTTTAATAAAACCCAGCTACCAATTTCAGTCTTCCCTTAAGTATCACTTCTCCATTAGGGTTTTGATACATATTGTTGTATTTTAGTCTCCAACTTCATTTCCCTCTGCTAATGCGATTTTGTTCATTCATTCTGAGAGCATGAAGATTCTACTACCAGATAAGCCAATGTTTCCCAGACTCTCTTCTTAGATGAGTTCAAATTATTTTAGTGCCATGTCAAATTCCCCCAACTGCACTGCATAAATGCACTAATTATCCTCCTCACCTCTCTCTCCCTAACCAAAAACTCAGACAGGGTAAATCAGTCTAGAACATGGCTCCACAACCCCCACACTGATGATCAATAGCAACCCTAACAAGTCACTTCCCATTCTATAAGGTACAGAAATAAAACCACATCCACACACAGAAATATATAATTTAATCTCATCTCCTTCCATTCTCACTTCACATCCTCCTTCAGCTTTCACCTTGATTGCTCTTACCTCTTACCCTCTTCACAGTTCAACATTTAAAAGGAAGAGAAGGAAAAAGAGATCACCTAAGTCTTTCTACCTTATTTGAAGTACAAAACAGACTGGATTTCATTAGCATATCTCCCTCTTTTTTTCAAAATTTCCTTTTAAAAGAAAAGAATGAGAAGAGCAAGAAAAATATGATAGCAAATAGGATGCACACTGGAACACTAGTAATTATTGAGTTAGTTCTCATCTTTAAGTTTCCAAGTAACTTCATGACAATGATAAATACTCAACTGACACGAAACTGGTATTGTGTAGATGAGATTCTGGTCTTTAACTGGATCTCAAGATGTGAAAATTAAAGAGCTTTCTTTTCCTAAAATGATGTTGCTCACCTGACTTATGTATTTCTCAATAATTCACTTCCCAAAAAGCTCCCAAGGCTCCTTTAAATTCTGTTCTCCTGGACCACTCGAGTTTTGGCTCATTGATTCTGGATGAGATTACTCTGCAATGACCCGGTCTACTACGCTCAAAATGTTCTTGCATAAACAATTCCTCTCTAATACACATTATTAAAAATAAATAACAGGCACTAGACAAGATACTGGGTCAAAGAAAGAAAAAGGAACGTTAGGACCTTGGATTTAAAATACAAAAAAGGGGCTTCCCTGGTGGTGCAGTGGTTAAGAATCTGTCTGCCAATGCAGGGGACACAGGTTCGAGCCCTGATCCGGGAAGATCCCACATGCCGCAGAGCAACTAAGCCCGTGCACCACAACTACTGAGCCCGTGTGCCACAGCTACTGAAGCCCACACGCCTAGAGCCTGTGCACCGCACCAAGAGAAGCCACCGCAATGAGAAGCCCGCACACTGCAACCAAGAGTAGCCCCCGCTCGCTGCAACTAGAGAAAGCCCGCATGCAGCAACAAAGACCCAACACAGCCAAAAATAAATAATACATTTATTTTAAAACATAAATAAAATAAAAGACAACAAAGTTTGGGCATCTCTGAAGTTATGATGTAAACATAAAACACCATAAAATACGAAACTGATTGATTTCCAATTTTTCCCAGACAATAAAAATGTTCTGTTTCATGCAAGAAAAAAAAAACAAACCTTTGCTGAGAACCATACAATGAAGACAATGATAAAAAAAAAAAAAAAAGGTAAAAAACTAGGGGCAGAGGACAAAACATGGTAGCTGGGCAAAGACCACGAAAAAGCCAGGCTGTGACCATCAAACGGCTAGTGGTGCCCAGCCACTCTGGTCTCCGAAGACACTGCAGAGCCCTTGCTAATACACAAGGAAAACAAATACTAGTGTATGAGTAAATCTTTAAAATTGGGGAGTAACAGAAAATTTTATTTTACTAGGGTTATCTTGCTAACAATCTTGATTCAAAACCTAATAAAATCCATTAGATACTATACATGATAGAAATACAGACATCCCACAGGAAAATAAATATTTCCTCTTGACCTGATTCTCCACTCTTACCCTGTACAATTATAACCTACCACACATCATCTACATTCTACCCTGAAGTTTAAACCTTATTTAAGCTACTGGATTCTTTCCTCTCTAATCTAAGCAGAATTTTTTGTCTACCCTGAATAAAATCATCCTATTCCTGGCTGGAAATCATTTTTATTCTTTTGTTTCACACTCTCCTAACTATAATTCCTCCTCCAACATCATCTTTCTTTGCTTGATTAGGTTGCTAGGGTTTTTTGTTTGTTTCTTTTGTTTGTTTTTTTTTTTTTTTTTTTTTTAATTGGCAATCTTTTTTTTTGGTGAGGGGGCCAAAAATCAAGATTGCCAATTAAAAACTTTTAAGCATATATCACAAAGCCAATGGTAGTCAAAGCATTTTGTCTTACACATTTAAAAAATATCCAATTCATGGTACAGTGACTCTGAAAAGTTGACAAAGGACAAATTACCCCCTTTTACAGATGAAAAAACTGAACTGCTAAGAGGCTTACTATGCAACACGACACAGCAGGAGCAGAGCTGGACCACGATTTTAGTCACCTCACTTCTGGGTGATATTATGCCCACCTGATCACAAATCTTGATCATGATAAACCAAGTTTTTATACTAAGATGCTATAGAGGAAAAAAGTCAAGCTTTTCCATCAACTGACCATTTCTCCCAAAGTCAAATCCGAAGCCCAAGTCTGTAGACTGAATGAAAGCTCAGTATTCTCATAAAAACACAAGATATACAGACTTCTGTATTAGGCACAGTATTTTCTTCAGAAGACTAGTTTGAATAAGAAAAATCAACTATAATACAAAAGACTAAAAATTTTCTGAAAATAGGAATTAGAGTGTAATTTATAATAAGCCATGAACTCAGGTTAGGATTTACCTAAAATTTAAAATGCATTAGAAAAATAATTTCTAAACAAAATATTTTTAAAGTATAAAGATGTTTCCCAGGTATAAAGTATAAAAGATGTTTTCCTTTTGGAAAAGTTACACACAAAAAAGATAATCCTAGGAAGAAAATGTTCTCTTTTCAAATATTTAAAAATAGTTTAAACATATATATTGTTTAGTTTCCACACAGCACTACATGAAATGGTTTTCAATTATTACTTAGTTACATACTCACCCAAGCGTCCCTTTCCCTGACATAGGGGGACTGGGGGGTTTCTGAGTTGGAGGTGTTGTACGCGGGAGCCCACCCATCTTCATGTTCTGGGTACTCACCTAAAAAAATTTTGAGGAAAAATCAATTTAACCTGTATGCAGTGAAACAAAGTGGCACTTTCAGGAAATAACATTATGCTATTTAACAAAGGAGGGGAAGGTTTAAATAGGAAAAAAAATTAGAGGCCATGCATTTCATATGCAATTTCTACTCTACTATCATTCTACAGTTGTACTCAAAGGACTCTTCCTAATGTGAGATTTTCAAATGATTATAAAGTTGTATGCAAAGACTTTATTTGCCATTAGGCCATCACACCAACAGATCACTGGTTAGACTATAAGATATTACATTCAATTGAAATCAAATAGGATAACTATAAAAACTTTAGTTTTTATAGAGTAACTCAATCAGACAATAATGCCTTTAAGCAATTCCTTGTTTTTTAGATAGCAAGTTTATCATAAAAAACAAAAGACATGTTTCCCCCCAAAAAAATGCAACTTAAGTTTTGATCCATTGTAAGTAGAGAATATAAAGTTATATCATATACAGAGAAAATTCCATTTTTTAAAATTGTGGATCAGCCTTACAATTCAGATTTCTTTAATGTTCTCTTATGAAGGAATCACCTACCTGAAAACTGCCAGAAGTTAAGGCATGTTCCTAAACATTTGAACCAGAAAGGTAGGGCTGAGGTATCCCACTCAACTGTGAGCGGTACAATGGCCACTGGCAATGTCCTAGTTCCAATGGGAATTAAACCCACTCAGGCCCAAAATGAAGATTAATTTAGGCATAGAAAAGATGTAACATAGTCCTAAATCAGAGCTAAGCCGTGATTCCTCACTATTCTATCCCCAACTGAAAGTGCAAGTGTGGGAAAGTTGGGTGATTTGGGAACCATGGATGCCACCAAAGGAGAAAGTCAGCACTTACACAGAAAGCCCTAGAAATCTGGGTACCTTAAAGAGTTAAGAGAAGTCATGCACAAATATAGATCAAATGCAATCTCAAGTTATTTGAGATTACCAATTGGTTAGAGTTAATAATGTTCACCACATATGTTCATACCTGACCCTATTTTAAGCCCCTAATATTCTGGGTTGCCAAACACTTCAAAAAAGGATCTTAACTTTTCTAATAAGAATACATCCAGAGTATTCAAATTATACTTATGAAATGAAACTGCAAGACTTCTGAAATCAGAATACACTTATAATTGTAATTTTAAAATATAAACTTTAAGAAAACAAATCATAATTATATACAGAGTATTGAGGCTGACAAAATTAACTCTGGCTTAAAGGGAATATTTAAAAATCCTAAAATACTACTTGTTATCTGAATAGGCAAGAAATAATATATCAAGAAACAAACTCTTCAAATGAATAGCCCAGTGAACAAGTTGTGTGTGATGTTAAAACAATCTTTAATGACAAATGATACCTTTGAAATATCAATATTTTTAAAGTTAAGCATTCATCTGTAATCCTTTTGTCATTGCTTTTAAACAACAAATACAAAACAAACTGGTTATCAAGGAAGAATAAAGATTAACTTATCCTTGCTCTCCCTCTCATTAATAAGCAGAGGGTATAATTGTATCTTAAAATGAAAATGTTAGAAGTTTTAAAAAATTAATCCACATTTGGGGAAAATTTTAGGAGTAATATGACAAATAACGAATAGCTTTTAAAACTGTATATCTTAATTTATGATACCAGAAGATTTTTAAAAGTAGTAACCAAAGTCCTTTAAGCTCAACCTTAAACATAAAACCCAAAGTCACTTTAAGTGATGAAGGAGAAGTAGGTGAGCCAAACACTAAACTACATCAATTTGCTAGAAACAGGAAGGAAAAGGAGCAGGGACAGAAAAAGAGTAAAACAGAATTTTATTCTATACATGGAATAGCTAAAATACTTGAAAACAGCTTTCCAACTTTGATTTGTTTAAGGTTTGGGTATATAAGGTGTTTTGTTTAAATTGCAGTATCTTCTCTATAAGTCTTTTAATCTACCCAAAACATAAAATAAACAATCTATAAATTAAAATCTGGTGGACATTTCTATACATAAAACTTGATACATTTTATGATCTGTAGAATCATCAAACGGTTCTATTTGTTTGGTTAATGGGGTTTGCATGAGTAACTTAATTCACTTAAGAAACCAAAGAGTCCCTGTGGAATGTCCAACTAATCTATTATTTTATACTTCACTGATGCTGTGCTACCTCTGTATTAAGCTAAAAGAGTATTCAATATTTCTTCAAGGTAGCTTTCCTTGTGAAAAATGTTTCTACGCTAAGTAAAACAATGAATATGCTATGCAGAATATACATACTGCCATCTAATTCGAGGAAAAGGGAAAAGAACAGGAATAATTGCCAAACAAAACTTATTATAATATAGATCTCACCTATGATAAAAGTTAATAAACTGTATTTCACACCTAAAATAATTTGGTAAAAAATTACTTACTGGATACTCATCATGGTTCTAAAAACTACTTTGAGGGAAGTTACAGGGGGACACAATGCTTCCTGAAAAGGAGCAAAACACATGACTGAATTGTGAGTGTGGTGAAGGGGAACGTAACTAGAGAGAGAGGACATACCACAAACTCAGGATAAAGCAACACTGCACCCACTCCATAATAGCAATTCCACATGAAGCTTTAGAAAATGTAACACACACAGGCAAAACTATCATCTGGCACATAAACGTGTAGTTAGCGGTCCTGAATCATGAATAGGAGTGCTCATGATACTTTTCAAAGTTTTACTTGGGAACTGGAATGACACTTTGATGGCTGATTCCAACAATAATTCAATTAATGTGGTTATTTTTTGATGCCACAAAGGAAAAGTCATCATTGAGAGCTGAGTGAAGCAGGTGTTAGGCACACGGAGAAAGAGCAGGAAAGGTCCCCTTTTTTTTCCTGCCAGAATCAAACTCTCAAAACAGAATACATACTTCATTTAGGTGATGAAGGTTAATGCATGATCACAACTCAAATAGTTTCCCACTGGCCTGGACTAAGAAATGCAGATAATACCAAGAGTAAGAGCAATTCCTTTATGACCAGAGTGGTCTGCTCTCCCAGACTCTGGAGATCACTACAACTAGAACCAACCATCAGGCCAATTATTATACCTTATTACTGCTTCTAAAGTGCTCCTATCTTTCCTGCTCTATCCTTTTTTGGTAAATGCAATACCCTCCTTGAACCCTGATATATATATAGTATCATGTATTTCATATATAACACTCATTACAAATCTTAGTGATTTCCAGTACCCTGTGAACTCCAGTATTTTTTATAAAGCTGGCCAGCCAGGTATCTCTAGTTCATAGAGCACATCACCTCTGCTATGAAGAAATCTCCCACGAAAAGATGACCTGTTGCAACTTAACAGTGACAGACACACTCTAAAATGATATCTGTGGTATATCCCTCATTTGAACTACCTACCACCAGACTACTAGGCACAAGGGTAAAAGAATATGAAAAATAAAAGAAGACAAAGGTCTGTAAAATGATTTCTCTGCTTTTAAGGAACTTATTTTAGAACTAAGACCCACATGTTTAAAACAAAAATTAGTATCTACAAATTATATAGAAATCTCCAAAAAAGAAATATCAATGTAAGCCAAAATGGCTACAGAAGGTTTCATAGAGAAAAATCTGAGCTGGAGTGTTAACAAGTCTTAAAAAGAGCAAGATTTAAATATACTAAGAGGAGTAGTATGTATAGGTTGTGTCTGGATGTGGCGTAGTGAGAATGGGCAGCAGCTGTGGTCAAGCATCTCTAGGCTTTCGTTCAATGCCCAGTATCGTTCCCCATTAGTTCCATCCAGTGCATAATTTTCTGGCTTCCTAGAGATCTTTATCCCTCTCCTCAGAGGATATATGTTCCTACTTCAATTCTCAGAGCCAGCAGGAAAAGAACCAGGAGATCCTCTGAAGGAGATCAAAGCTGAAATCAGGAATTCGAGTATGACTTCAGGAGAGATGTAAAATTTTTAGTAAGAGAGAAAGACAAAAAGCCTAAGGTGCCAAGAGTCCTAAAAGAATCTAATACAGAGATAAGGGAATAAGAGATTAGGATTAAGGGGGGAAACAAATAAAGAAAGTAAGAAGAAGAAAAGAATAAAGATGGACAAACTTCTGCTTGATTCTGAAAACAGTTTCTAACAACTGGGTTTTGACAAGATAGAATTGGTGGCTCAAGTCTGGAACGGATAGGCAAACCCAGATGAGTCTTCCAAAAGTTGCTGTTATTGTGGAGTTTTTCTTCCAAGTGTTGTATCAAATAAATGCTTAACAATGAACCCTCAGCTGTACCCGAGAGCTAGAAATGTGAGAGGCAATTTATCATCCTCCTGTACTGTAGGGAATGACACACACAAGATCACATGCAAAGTGAAAAGGTTAGCCCATTTTTTACATAAAGTTATGGATCTTCAAGATCCCAAGCAAAATTTTCAGAAGTGTTGTATTCTTAATGTGTTAACTGTAAAAGCAACTCCTAACCCCTCCTCATTAATTATTAAGAATCTGCTTGTACAATGTTCATCTGAAATAAATACTACAAAAACAGATCAGAAGTCTTTATTTTTTTTGCATTAAAGTAAATACACTTATTTTAAAAGTACTTGAGCTTAGCTTCATTAGTGACAACTTTAAACGTTCAACAGAAATATCTGTTTCAAACACATCAGTAACAAGGTCTTAAAACTCTTTTATTAAAATAAAGAGTGGGGAAAGGGTACCCCAGTTCAAAGTACATTCCACTTTTGGCCTCAGGTACATATTAAAACCCCTCCAATATGGCATTCTATCCATCAGCTTTTTATACCTTTTTCTTTAAAAATATCACCACGTTGTTTTCAAAGGTCTTATGAATTAAACTCTACAACTCCTCATTCGACTGAAAAAAGTTAACCCAAATTTTAGATGAAAAGAACCATTAAACACAACCAGGACATGCTGTATAAAAGGTTAAAAATTCAACTTTTAAGCATGGAGGTCTCTTCTGAGTCAAATCCCATGTGTCTTGTCCCAAAGTATGATATTTGTTTAGAGTATATCTGAAAGGCATCAAGTCTGACAACAATGGGAGCAAAGACAGAGCTCATAATGAGCTGAGGAGGAAATCAAATTATCAGGAGACTTCCAGGGCACCTGACATAATCCACAGGTCTCCAAAAATCTCAGCTGGAAAACCAGTGGACTAGTTTACTATCTGCGGTCCCTTCCAACTTTAACATTTTTAAATTCTATTTTCTATCTTAATATACTCAATTATTCCATTAATCAACCTTCTAAAGCAATTCATTTTTCAACATTAAAAAGAGTAATGATTTGCTATATGCTGAATATTTTTTCCACTCTATTTTGTTTTGGTTCACCCAAAATTATTAACTATGTGCCACAAGTTTATAGAGACAACAGACACACTCAGAAAGAAAGATAAGAAGAAAGAGACAGAGGACTGGCACATTCTAGCTTCTAGGATGACCTCACGGTACATACTTCTCACCCTGTCAACCCCATCCCAATATAGTAGAAACAACTACATAGAGCCACAGTACTAAGGAGTGGAGCTTTTTTGGTGCAAAGAGCAAAGGTGTTAAGGAATCTTATCCAAGTGTGATGTTCCCTTATTAGATCTTTCTTTCTTGGAAGCTCTCATCTCCCACTCACTCTGGTCTCTCACACAGAACAGATCCTGAACCCAGAAAGATCAAGAAGGAATCCTCGTAGGGTCTGGAAGAAATGAGCTAGGGATAGTTCCTCAGGCAAGCTGGTCTAAACTTTAAGGGGAAAGAACTGGTCCATTTTTTTTTTTTTTGTCTTTCCTTTAGTTAATCTTTCTGTGCACTTCTATCACTTTGGAGGTTAATGTATCAATAGCCAAAATCTGAATACAGACTTTAAGGGAAAAAAGCCAAGGTAGCCACAAAGACAGCTTCTGGTCTAATTCTACCTATTTTATGCGAAAGAATCTCCTCACTCACCGAGACTGAGGGCTTGGAGTCAACACTCCAATATACTTTTATGTACACATGAAGTACATCTGCCTGGGCTCCTCCAGTCACATCTCTCTACCATGATCTGTTAACTTTCTGTGGCCGTGGTTAGTAGCTAGTTAATGATTCAGATCTCAGTCATCTTGTCTTCTTGTTATCACTTTCTACACTGAAGACATGGCAAACAACAGGGTATATGGTAAGAATACATATTTGAAAAGGAATTATAGAATTCAGCTAAGAAAAAAAGAACAAAAATGAAATGCATGATCGATTTGGTGACAATAATTTTAGTACCATTCTATCTGACAGGCTTCTTGATTATTCTTGAATGCCTTTTCCCATTTTTCCCTCCAAAATACTAAAATGTTACTGAAACAAGTAAGAAAAGTAAATATCTTTAATTCTTAACTTGTATTTTGTTAAACACTATCATGAGCTTTTGATGCTTTGCATATAATGCTCGGCTTGAAAACCTCTTAAAGTGAGTTTATACTGAAATATATAATTTATATAGCAATTTGAATAAAAAGATTAATTTTGTTTTTTGCAAAATACATGATACTGCAACTTAAAAAACACCCAAAACACTGAATATTTTCCAATTTTCAATTTTTTTAAGAGTGATTAAGAGTCAAGAGATAATGACATAGTGGCCACAAGGTATATAATAAAGCACACCATTTATAGAATAAAAAGGTTATTACACAGGGGGAGGGTTAAATGAAGCACATTAGCAGCCCTCCAATCCAAAACAAAATTTCTACATTTACAAAGTCCAGCTAATTTTATTTCATAATGACATTTTATGATAGGGTAACTTACATTTCAGTTTCACAAAATATATTGACATTGCAAAATAACCATTTAGTCAACAAATATTTACTAAGTGTCTAATGTGTGTCAAGCACTGTTCTAGGCACACAGGATAGGGCAATGAACAAAACAGTCAAAAACATCTGCCCTCATGGAACATGAAGACACACAAAGTTTCATGAAAAAAACAAAATAAAATAAAAAAGAGTAACTATTTGTTGGTTTTAAAAGGCCAAGTACCAAATATCTCTTCACTCCCCATATGTAATATTCTACATAAGAACAAAGAATGGAAATCCAGCCCTGGAATCTCTTACCTTAAATCTAAGCAACCACTTAATGCATAAATGGAGCAAATAAAAGAGGTAAGGGAAAAAAGCATTGAAAAGTTAGTTGGAACTTCAGGATGTGAAGAGAAAGGAAAAAAACAAAGAAAAAACAAGTTAAGCATTCAGCATTAAAAAATAATGTTTCAGTAGATCATAGAAAGAGTGGTTAAAGCAGAATGTGTCATGAACAGGAGTTTTGTGATGAAATTATATGACACTTTTATTTAAAAACAACTTTATAAAAGATTTCTTCAAATTAATGACCCCTAAACACTAAAATGTACAAAAAAATGAAAGGGACTACAGATTCCCTAAAGAACATTTACTTGAGGATTAAATAAGAATTGGGGGATCACCTTTTTATTATATAAGTGGGGAAGTACAAATATGATGTTTTATATTCTAAGTGCCTTTTTATCATTAAATTCGTTCAGGATCCTAAAATTTTCCATTAGCAGTTGTTAGCCTCAAATAAATCTCAAAAGATTTTCCCAAGTTAGAATAAATTTCAGTTATTAATTATCCATCCAATTGTACATCCTATTTTAACATGCTCTAATTAGTACTGTAAACTAAATGCATTAGGTGTTCATTATAAAATTAAATATCAAATTTCAGATAATAGTGCTTATATCAAAATTGTAAGAAAGAAAAAGATTTAAAAAAAAAATTTACACCGTACATATTCTTTTACCTAGATCTACATTAAAGTTAGATTTAACCGATTTCTAGCCATACTTGTGTGAGGTATATTTTTTTAAATTTAAATTTGCTTATATTAGACACAAATCAACTGCATTGAACTGTACAGTTTCACTTATAGGCATATACGTATTTATTCAGCATCACATTTGAAAAGTCACTGTCTTTCAAATCACTGCTGAGGTGCAAACTTTAAATAACCTAATACTCAGCTGAAGCTCTGAATAGTTTCTTAAGAACGAACACCAATTTAAATGAAAGTTATATGCTCCTCAGTTGTGATTATGGTACTTTACATACATAGCAGGCACTTAAATACATTTTAAAAGATAGCCAAAATATATAATGACTATCTACTCAAAAGCAGTGGAAATACTAGTTCACATATTAGTTTTATCTACATTATTCTCACCCAAAATGTTGAGATAAATTTGTTTTAGAAAAATTCAAAGTACATGTTTGTTTATATATGTTCTTTCTGAAAACTAATGCCAAGTTTGTTGATATTTTTGAGATAAAGCAAATACTTTAATAACATACTGAATAATTTTTAATTAGTCATACTAAATCATTAAAAGATTAGAAATATAATACCACATTTATTTCCAGATCTATATGAGGTATTTTCATAACTGATCAAGCAAAAGCAATTCAGTCAAAGATGACTGTTTAAAACTTGAAAACATAATACTAAGAAGAAAGAAGGATAACATAGTGGTAGGAAATCTTCAGAACTACAAGTAGGCCAAGACTTGATCCTCTGGAAAGAAAAGATAAACACTTAATTTTCTAAAGAGTTAGTTCCATTATGGGCTGTTGTTTTTAAGCTGGACAAAAATTATACTTACCTTTACTCCATGTCCAATATCATCTAGAATTGTATAGTCAATAGGTTTTCTAATATAACGAACTGGTCGTTCAAGGTTGGCTGGAGCAATAATCTTATGTGTCCTTGAAGTGTTTTTATTGGTAGTCAAAATACCAATTTCTCTTCTTGCAACTTTCTCTTTATGAATATCAACGGTCTACAAAATATAATATAAACACAACACAAAAATGTATAGCTCTTATATCCAGAAAAATAAAAATATAAATACTTAGAGGTTTAATATCATTATCCATATTCTTAACCACAACTGCTAACTTCTCCTTTTGGGACCAATACTGACTTTCTCCCTTTCTAGGCTAAAGCAAGGGATGGGAAACCATGGCTGGCAGACCAAATTTGGCCCACCACCTATTTTTTACAGCCCAAAAGCTAAGAGAGGTGTTTACATTTTTTTAATGGTTGAAAAAAGTCAAAAGAAAAATAGGTCTTGACATGTGAAAATTATATGGAATTCAAATTTCAGTTTCCATAAACAAAGTTTTATTGGAACACAGTCATTCTACTTGCTTACATATTTTCACAATATAATGGCAGAGATTAGTACTAACAGAGACCTTATGGCCTGCAAAGCATAAAAATTTATTAGCTGGCCCTTTACAGAAAAAGTTTGCCAACCTCTGGACTAAACATGCTAATTTTTCCCCTCTCCATTAAGACTTAACCTTATTAAGAAAGCCCCAGTGAAGGAATTCCCTGGTGGTCCACTGGTTAGGACTCCATGCTTTCACTGCTGAGGGCCTGGGTTCAATCCCTGGTTGGGGAACTAAGATCCCACAAGCCGTGCAGTGCAGCCAAAAAAAAAGAAAAATCCTCAAAAAAAAGAAAGTCCCAGTGATTAATCTGGTTCCATTTAAAAATAACCTATTAGTATAAATTCTATTAGTGTTTAAATAATTTTTATTAAAAAAAGAGAGGCCTAAACTATAAATACAATGTTAAAATAAGAATCATTTTTTACAGAGAAACTTGTTTACTGAGGCAATGCTGCTTATATTTTATCATAACAAAATGCTTGTAAAATATTTCATTATTTTATTTATTAAATGTTCAAAATAGGATATAATTTAGTACATAACAACGTGTTTTTACTCAGTTTTCTATTTGCTGAGAGAGGGCGAATTTAAGCACGGGTAATTAATACACTAAAGCAGCATTTTTCAAACTGCAAGGTGCAATTTAGTGAGATGTAAGCAGCAATTATTTTAAATGAAAAAGAACAGAAATATCAGACAACATACACATAGTAAGGTATTTTTTCTTAAAATATGTTATGTATATAAATACATACATTAAATTGTGTACTGGATGGAATATAAAATATATTTTTAACTGTGAGTTGCAGTTTAAAAAGTTTGAAAAATACTTCACTAAAATTTTGTTCACATCTCTTGCCACCATTCCTGGCTCAAGCAGCAATTAACAGATACTTTTGCTATTTCCTCCCCAAACCTACTTCAATGTACCCTGTCTAAAGAATAACCAGGTAGTAACACAGAAATGGAAATGAAAGATAACCATCATGACATTATTAAATACAACTTTAAGAAATCTGAACACTGATTATTTATCCTTCTAAACTACCTAAAGTGTGAAGGAAACCTGAAACAAATTTGAAGCCTCCCATTTCAACCAACAGATCTTAAAAGAAACAGAATCTGTAAGTTCATAACTAATAAATATCTAAATGAAGCAACAAATCCAATACTGGCCAACGTAGTGACCTTATCATTTTAACTATTTCTTTTTAAGACAAAAATAGGTTTTGAACTTTTTCGGTGCATATTAGAAAAATTACAAAATCTGCTTTCCTTTTCAACTGCTTGAGGGAGCTATAACAGAAAAAAAAAGGTTGCACATTAGTGACAATATTGGAATTTACTTATTTTTAACTTCAGAGAAATGGAAATTAATCATATTTTACTTTTGAATATTTTTTAATGAGTCTTTCTGAATTATTAAAAATATGAGCTAGGGGCTTCCCTGGTGGCACAGTGGTTGAGAGTCCGCCTGCCGATTCAGGGGACACGGGTTCGTGCCCCGGTCCAGGAAGATCCCACATGCTGCGGAGCGGCTGGGACCGTGAGCCATGGCAGCTGAGCCTGCGCGTCCGGAGCCTGTGCTCCGCGACGGGAGAGGCCACAACAGTGAGAGGCCCGCGTACCGCAAAACAAAACAAAACAAACAAACAAACAAAAAGTGAGCTAGGAAGATTTCATACTTACCAATTATACTTCAAAATAACCAAAAAACCCCAAAATATGACACTTATTTTTTATATATAACTGGTCTTTGTTATACCAATAAAAGAAAATTTATTAGAGAATGTAATCCTCTTTCAACATTGTTTTCATTCTGCTTAGTTAGAAATATAATTATCTTATTCAGAAATGAAAACAAAAGAATGTAAACCTAATCAACAATAACAGAATTCTAAACTTAGGGCAAACTGGAACTTCAAATTTTCCTGCTAGAAATATTAATAAATCTCTGGAGAATGAAAAGAGGGGTAACTTTTCATTATTATTTGCACTAATATACAGTTATATTTTATAACAAGCACATATTTTAAATTGTTTGAAAAAACTGAGACTTTTTTAAAACCATTAAAACAATTAGATCATACCTGGGGATTGGGGGCACTTACATATTACTTATATATTTTCTTTATGTACACATAAACACACAGCCCAAACCTGTATAAGCCATTACAGTAAGCATAAAAGAAAGACCAACACAGCAAAAGAAACGATCACAGAACTTTTATATATAAGCCGAAATAAGGGATAGTTGCTACAATAGGGCATAAAATTAGAGAAGGCAAAGTATAAATAATGAGTTACAAGAAAACATACACCCCTTCATTGGAAAAGTGACCATGTGCCCAGCACTAAACTCTTAAAGGAACTGGTTGAAGGAATTATGAGAAAAATGTTCTTTTTTGCTTCTTATATTAATTCTCATTAAAACTGAAGGCATATTTTAAAACGTAATTCTTAACAGCATATGTCTATATGAAGCCAAAATAATCTAGTTTGGTTATACGTTTCTAGTTGTCTACTCTAAAAGAATACTAGAGCAGGGCTTCTCAACAGCAACACTACCAGCATTTTGGGCCAGATAATTCTTTGTTGTGGAAGGGCTGTCCTGAGCATTGTAGGTTGTAGTGAAGCCTCCCAGTTGATATTTATAGCACTCCCCACCCCAAGCTGTAACAACCAAAAATATCTGACGTTGCCAATTGTTCCCTTGGGGGTAAAACTGCTCTGACAGAGAACCAGTGATGTAGAAGAAGGACTAATTCATTTGTCTCATACATTATTCATTCTCAAATGTCAATTGTTTCCAAACTTTGTACAAGAGTTGATTTATGATTAATGCCTCTAGTGACTGCCAAATATCAATATTTGATGTCATTAACTTTTAAAAATCATCTAAAATAATAAAAGTAATATATGGTTAAGAAAACCCAAAGGTATAATTTGTGAATTGCCATCCTAATACCACACTGAGTTGAACTGTAGGAGTTCCCATAGACAGAATCAAATATACCTTCAGAACATGGCTATGATTTTATCTTAAGTCTGAATTACAACTTTTAATGGAGAACAATAAATCTATTACATAAATAAGGAGGAGAAAGTTTGGTCCAGAAGATTCTGAAGTTTTCAGCAATTACCTAATTCACATTTTTCAAAGATTTCTCTGGTAGAAAATACAATCATTTTCAAATTAGAGTAATTTAATGAATACCCTCCATATACTTAACATCCAGCTTCAACATTCATCAACTCACAGCCAATTGTCAGTTTTAAAAGAACTTTGGTAAAGCTCCTAAAACATATTTTTAAATATGGCTTGTATGTTTTTCCTAAATCAAACTCGTAGCTTTCACTAATCACCATTGCCTTTGCCTTCACTATATACTTTGATATTACAATGCTGAAATGAATTGTTAAACTTTGGAAGTACGAATTCAACACTGATAGCTAGTCAGAATTTTAATAATAAGAAAAGTATTTCCCACTTATCCTGAATTTCTAAAGTTACTAGTTATATGCCAATAAACTTATTCTCATTTAGAAGAGGCCTCAATAATAGCACTCACCTATGGCAAGTGGAAAATGTGTTTAACTAGCAAAGAAGACCAAAACTAATGCAAGTACACTGCTATTAATACTATTATTGTTTGCTACCTGTTAACCAAAAAACACGCCAAGTAGTATTGCTGCAACTGTGCAAGAGTTAAATATCTTTTCTCCCACAGTTCCTTAACAATTTGTTTCTCCATCCTCTAACAGCTATTGCCAAGCTGGTCTCACATGCTGCAGGCTCCCCCCATGATATTTCAACCACGCAGTGCCAAACCCAGGCTCCTCTAGAATACCTCTCATGGCCTTGACTTTCAGCTCCTCTGCAAGCCTGAGCCCCCCTCCCACACCTCCATCATGGACCCAAGCACATGCTCAGGCCACAGCAGATGACAGGAAGGTATGTATAAAGTATTTTGCTTTAGGGTTATCCATGCATTGTCCCATTACCACAGATAATTGAAAGTAGACTGTACTGGATAGCACTACCTCAGTCAGCTGCCCATCAGTGTGGGAAAACATCCACAGTCAAACAGTTACAGTGGGTTAACTCAACTAAGTTGGGTGTTTTAAAATGTGTCTCCATTTTTTTACATTAGTAAGTTAATGTTTCAAATAAGCATTTACTTATTTTAATCACAAATATGCTTTATACTATTCATCTTTCATAAAACAAATTAGTTATTCACAAACTGAATAGGTAATTTTCAGTTATTTATTTTTTATAAAATGATATAAACTTAATTAGGAACTGTATAAATCCTACTTTCTATACATAATTACACACTGATAACCATTAGTGGGATTTCCTTAATTTAAAATTGGGAATTTTTAAACAAATCTATATACATAAAGTTTTTTAAATTTATTATTTATTTATTTATTTTTGGCTGCATTGGGTCTTTGTTGCTGCATGAGGGCTTTCCCTAGTTGCGGCGAGCGGGGGCTACTCTTCATTGTGGTGCGCGGGCTTCTCATTGCGCGGGCTTCTCATTGCGGAGCCCGGGCTCTAGGCACGCGGGCTTCAGTAGTTGTGGCACGCAGGCTC